TGAAAGGAGAAACAGACAAACTCACTAGTTGGGACTTCAACACCCACTTCTCAGAAACCAAAAGACTTACTAGAAGATCTGAACAACACAACCAACAGGATCTAATTCATATACACAGAACATTTGACCCAACAATAGCTGAGTGTATATTTTTTTTCAAGTGCCCATGGAACGTTCATCAAGCTAGATCACACCCTGGGCCATAAAACAAACCTCAACAATCATAAAAGAACTGAAGTCATACAGAGTATGTTTGACTATAATGGAAACAAACTAGAAATCAGTAACAGACAACAGGAAAAAATAAGGGAGTTCCTGTGATTTTTTTTGTTTGTTTTCTCAATGACACATGAGGCAAGGCAGAAAGGAGAAGGAAGAGAAGGGAAGGCATTTATCATTAATAAGGAGAAGGAAGAGAAGGGAAGGCAATTTATTATTAAACAATTATTGAGCACCTACTGTGGGCTAAATATTGTTCTAAACACTGAGACTTAAAGGAGTAATCCCAACAGAGAGCAGTCACCACCCTTCATTGGCAGGGGTGGGAGGTGGGGAGGAAGACAACATATAAACAATATAAGATGTCAGATGTGGTAAGTGTAAAGAAGAAAAAGAAACAGAGTAAAGGAATAAAGATTAACAGTAGGAAGGACCTCCTTATACTGGATGGAAAAGCTTCTCCTCTAAGAAACATGAAGCAAGTGAAGAGGCAAACCGTGTCAATTTCTGAAGGAACTGCAAAGGCCCTGAGGCTGAAGCACACTTGGCACATTCAGGGAACAGCAAAGACAACGGTGTGTCTGAAGAAGAGTGAGGGAGAGTGGAAGATGAGATCAGAAAGGCAGGAGAAGAGATCCGAGGCGGGAATGAAGGGCAAATCATACGATTTGCAAATCATGCATCAGTGGAGTAAACAGGATTCTGGATATTACTATAAATGATACAGGAGCCTCTGGAAAACTTTGAGTCTGCTTACATTTTGAATGGATCACCCTGGATACTATGTGGAAAATATGTTAGAATAAGTGTGAACAGGGTGGAGCAGAGCTGAGTTAGAAGGTTACTGTGATCAAGCAGGTGACAGCTCCTAGGAATAGGAATGGCTGCAGTAAAAAGCAGTGAAACATGGTCAAATCCATGACATATACTGAAGGTAGAGAAAACAGGATGTGCGAATGGATGTGGGCTGATATGAGAGGAAAAGAGGATTCAAGAATGACTTAGTTTTTGGCTTGAGCGACAGGTAGAACAAATTCACCGTTTGACAAGATAGGGAAGGCCTGGGAGGAAGCAGGTTGGGGCTGGGTGTACATGTGTGGTGGTAAACCAAGACTGCAGTGTAGGGCATATTAAAATTTTTTTCATGTTTTCTCTGCATCCAGGAGTCAATCATGATGAGCACGTTAAGTCTGGGATGCCTATGAGACATCCATGTGGGTATGTCAAGAAGATACTAGAACACATGTGTCTGGAATTCAGGCGTAAGGTTGGATTTGATGACAGGTGTTTTGTAGGGAGAAAGTGAATTACTTTCTAGAAAAACACAAGTGGACTGGGAGTCCACTTGAAGTTGATGGTTACAAATTTAAAATGAAATCAGTCGGCCTGGTTGTGATTTTCTTTAGCAATATTCAGCTGAGTGGGTAGACAGTGAAAGTAGACAGCTGGGTTTAACCGCAGTTAGGAAAGTAGGTTAGGATTGAAAGGGACAGGGAAGTTGAAAGTACTCATAATGGAGGAACGGTAATGATGGAGCACTGATTCTATTCTGGGTAGGAAGGGAAGCAAAGAGAGACGGGGACAGATGTCGTTCTAAGTCTACCATGCGAGACCAGAATATTATTAAATGCTAAATATTTTCTTATTTAATATTTGCCTCTGGCAAAAAGGCCACCCTGAACCTTTTCTAAGAAAAGAAAACCAGGGAATTCTCTGGTGGTCCAGTGGTCAGGACTCTGCACTTTCACTGCCATGGGCATGGAGTCAATCCCTGGTCGGGGAACTAAGATCCCAGAAGCCGCACGGTGTGGCCAAAGAATAAATTAAAAAAAAGAAAACCAGTCATTATTATTAATAAATAGTTATCAAGTGTTTACCATGCAGGGAATACTGTGCTTAGCTGAAAGGACACATAGAAATATAGGGACCCACCTCCTAGGAGTACAGCTGAAAGACAACTGAGAAATCATCATCTACCGCCCTCCTTTTACAAAGGTAGAAACCAAGGTTTAATAACTTATCCAAAATCATCCAGCTTGCTCCCGGCTGAGCCAAGACTACAGCCATGGTCCAGGGTTCTCTGTCTCAGCCCCCAAACTGATGCCATTAGAAAACCTCTGGGAAAATGTGTAAAAATCCACCCTGAGAAATGATAATTGGGATGGAGAAATTTCCTACTTTTCATTTCAGTATTACTGGAATTTTCTGTCATAAGCATGTACTACTTTAATATAAACTATTATAATAAGGTTAAAGAGAGGAAACAGTACGTTGTGCATGACAACCAAAACTGGACACTTTGAATCTATCCATTGATTACTTTTAAACGCAAGGCATTTTCAGCATTTTTGAGAAAATGTAAAGTACACCAGGGGTCCCCAACCCCCGGGCCTCGGAGGGGTTTGGGCCCGAGGCCTGTTAGCAGCAGGTGAGCGGCGGGGGAGCGAAGCTTCATCTGCTGCTTCCCAACGCTTGCATTACCACCTGAACCAACACCCCTACCCCCATCCATGGACAAACTGTCTTCCACGAAACCGGTCCTTGGTGCCCAAAAGGCTGCGGACCGCTTTAGGACACCACTACTTAACAAGGATGCGCAAATGAAGCCATTTGGTGGATGATACCAAAATACTGCCAAAATCTTTTCTAATACTGTCAGAGGAATGTAAAAGTAAAAAATGCCATTGTTACTGTGCAAAAGTAAGGTAAAGAACAGATTATTCTACTGTAAATTGCATTCCAATGTGTTTCTTCTTTAAACCAAGGGCTCCTTATATAAGTTTTCCACTCAGCTATCTGGCCTACCCTAAATTGCATCCCTAGAATCTGTTAAAGGAAAATAATTCTTTGCGACTGTTTTCTTGGAAGACCCTGTATGAAATGTCTCTTCCCTACTACTCACAAGATGTGGGAAAGGTTAGCTATTTTATAAGGTGGTTATTCTTGTGAATTAAAAATTTAAAGTAGTTTATTTCAGGACTTCCCCGGTGGTCCAGCGGGTAAGACTCCACGCTCCCAATGCAGGGGGCCTGGGTTCGATTCCTGGTCAGGGAACTAGAGCCTGCACGCATGCCACAACTGAGTCCACACGCCACAACTAAAGATCCCGCATGCCGCAACTAAGACCTGGCGCAGCCAAAATAAATATATAAAATGATAAATAAATAAATATTTTTTAAAAATAAAAAAAAATTAAGTAGTTTATTTCAGCCTCTTGGGATAATTTGTGACCTCAGATATCTTCCTCAACACATTGCCTCCAGGGAGGATCCATCTAGTAGACTGATGTACAAAGAAAGACAATAGAATCCAAAGAAATTAAGCCATGGCCATACAGAGCCCAGCACTTAAGGGAAAAGAGGGCTGCTTAGTTGGTTTTGATGACAAAAAGGAAAAAGAATGAAGCGGCACCAGCTGCCCAGCTCCCTAATCTTCTCCCCTCCACCCCACTGTACTCCACAGTAATACGAGTGAGCTAATCTTGCTTAGGATCTCCAGACGGCCGTGGCAGGCAAACGATATGATGCTAAATTCTTTGTTCAGTGCGTCGACTGCACTGGGCTCTCATTTTTTGGATGTTAGGCTTGTTCTGATTGCAAAAGTCATCTGAGTTTAACCTGCGTTTCAAATTATCATTTCAATCAGTAAGGTTGTAACTGTAGCAGTTCTCACAGGGAGCAGCGCCTCTACTCTGAAGGCCCAAGGGTTGGCAAACTATGGCCGGTGGGCCAAATCCTGAAGTTTAAAAAATAAAAGGTTTACTGGCACACAGCCATGCTCGTTTGTTTACACACCTCTGGCTGCCTCCACATTAGCACAGCAGAGCTGAAGAGCTGTGACCGAGACCGAATGGCCCACAAAGCCTAAATACAGACTATCTACTCTAGTCTTTCACAGAAAGAGCCTGTTGATCGTTTAAGAAGGTATCGCTTCCCCTCCCTCCTCTGTATAAAAGATCCTCCATAACCTGCCTCTGCCTATTTCTCAGGGCTTACTTCCCAACACTGTTTCCCCACTAGCTTTGTCCGTCTACGGAGAACCACTTACCGTTCCCCTAAATCAGTGACGCCCTTGCTCAAGGCAGAACCCACATACTTGCAACTCCCTGCCCCGAACGCCACCCCCTCCTTGCCAAGCCACCGACCATCCAAAGGTCCCTAAAAACCTCAGCTGTCCCTCCCAGTTAGTCTTCCAGGCTGCCCGCCCCTCGACTGGACGGCACGATTTACCAACCGTCCTGTAATTTGTAGGCAGCCTCCCTTACTTGTCCTGCAAAAGCAGAAGCTGTTTCTTGCGTTTCTTAACCAGCGGTTAACACGTAATAAGTGCTTGATACTTGCTGGCTGAATTCCTGAATAATCTTTGCAGACACCACATGGCTTGTGTGGCCCTGGATGCTCAGGCTGGAAATGTAAGCTGCGATAGCGAGGCTGAAGGCCCTAAGCAAAAGATGTACAGAACAGAGGCAACAGGTGGAGCCACCTACTCAGATACCACTGTTCTAGAAAAGTCTATGAGCACTCCGCCTGGCGATCCCCTGCTTTTCCTAGCCTCTCTTGCACACCGTACCATGTCTGACTGGTTCACGCATGACAGGTTTGGCCCGTAATTCTAGCGGTCTCGGGGGCCGGCTCCGGGGACACAGGTTTGGGGGGCGGGGCTCTAGGCTCGCCGGCGTCCGGGCCCCGCGCGCCTCCCCCTCCCCGGGGCGCCCCGGCCTCCCGCGCCCTCGGGGCTCCCTCGCCCGCCCACGGCCCTGTTCTCGTCTCCCTAGCTCCCACCTCGGCAGCTCTCACCTCCGTCCCAGACTCAGACCTATGGAAATCACTACACATCGCCCCGGAGGCTCGGCGCAACAGCCACTCAACTTTCCCGCCAGCGTCGCCATTTACTGCGCGGCCTCGGCCCAGCAGCCAGTCAGAGACGCTAACCCGCTGACCCGGGCGCGAGCATGCGCACTGCGCCCGCCCTCGGCCGGGGAGCCGGCGGGCATGCGCAGCAGGGCGTGCGACCTCCCCCCGCCCCGCTCACTGACGTCAGACCACGTCTCCTAGGAGACCGGGAGGTAACTGGGGATTTTCTTTTCTTCCCTCTCATAAATTTCCATTTGTTTTTATTGGGTAGAACTAGCAGCATGTATTTTTTTTAAGTATTAACAGAACACTTACTGAGCAAACGGGCCTTTTTGTTCATTCTTGGGTTAAAAGCCTCTGGCTGGCTGTGGGTGTAGTTTATGGTTGATTCTGAATAAACGAAAAAAGTATACTAAATTTAAACGAATTTTTAGAATAAAGCGAGCCGGCAGATATATCCAGTTCTTTTTGGAGGTAGAATAATTCTATTACTGTTTGTTATCCAGTGCCTATCCATTAAGATAGATAAATATTAGATGGACAGATGATAGAAGATAGATGGATGTTGAGTATTTGCTCTATGCCAGACCTTGTGCCGAGCTCTGGGAACAGAACAAAGAATAAGAGACATGCATGAATGGGGTTTACAGCCTATTAAGCCATTTACTGGAATGTGTCCTTAAAAAATTCGCTTTCCAATAGCTGTAGCTGTTGTTTAGTTGGGCAAAACAGTGAGGTTGTCAGTGTAGGGTTCTCTTTTTCTTATCCTTACGCTTGCAGCTGTGTAATTAAGAAACGATTATAATATTAGTAATGATAGGTAACACTTCCAGAGCGTATTATGTGCCAGGCACTGTCCTAAGGTCTTTATATATAATAATCCATTTAATCTCCACAGTCCTGAGGTGGGTATTGTTATTATCCTTATTTTAGAGATGAGAAAACTGAGGCACCAATTTTGGCCCATTTTACTTTGTTGTAGTGATCGTGGTGGGTCGACATTTTAATGGGAAATAGGAAGCAAAGACCATGAATACAGACAGTTCTTCACAGAAGCTTGGCTGTGAAGGAAGGAAATAACATATTACACAGAAAAATATATATAGGATAAAGGAAGAGTCATTTAAGGAGGCAAAGCCTGGTTCAAGTTTAAATGCTGATAGGAAAGAGCTGGTAGAGACTTAAAGGTTAAAGACACCATCTGAGAAAGGATACTTGATGGAGCTGGACTGGAAGAGGAAAGAGGGTGCTGGGTGTAGATATCAGCTCTAGATGGGGGAGGGCATCTCTTCAACGTGAGCAGGGGCAAGGAGTCAAGACTATTCACAGTAGCCAAGACACGGAAGCAACCTAAATGTCCATCAACAGGTGAGTGGATCAAGAAGATGTGGTACACACACACACACACACACAATGGAATACTACTCAGCCATAAAAAAGAATGAAATAACGCCATTTGCAGCAACATGGATGGACCTAGAGATTATCACACTAAGAGAAGTAAGTCAGACAGAGAAAGACAAATATCGCATGATATCACTTATATGTGGAATCTAAAACATGACACAAATGAACCTATTTATGAAACAGAAACAGACTCACAGATATAGAGAACAAACTTGTGGTTGCCAGGTGTGGGAGGGATGGGCTGGGAGTTTGGGGTTAGCAGATGCAAACTATTATATATAGAATGGATGGACAACAAGGTCCTACTGTATAGCACAGGGAGCAATAATCAATATCCTGTGATAAACCATAAGGGAAAAGAATACAAAAAAGAATGTCTATGTGTGTATAACTGATCGCTTTGCTATACGGCAGAAATTAACACAACATTGTAAATCAACGATACTTCAATTTTTAAAAAAGGGGTGCAAATGCCAGATACAGTTTGGGATGGGGAGCTCAAAGAGGGTGAGGAAGTTCTAGTCTGAGGACTTATGCTTTTTCTCTGAAGTAAAAAGCAAGGTAGTAGAAATGTAAGATTTGAGTTTAAATTCCTTTGGTGAAAATTAAAGTGAGCATCCGAGTCAAATCCCTAAACAAATGTTACCCACCTATGCACTCTGCTAAACCTTCCTCAGAAAACCATTCTTGGTCCACTTGAGTATCACACAGTGGGTGATAGACCTAACTACTACCCTAGACTATGGCAGTAATTGTTCTAACTAGGGAAATTGTCCTGTAATTGTCTATAATCACATTTAATATTCAACATACATTAGTACTATTCTTTCATTGCACAGAGCTCTTCCCTGAGTTACAATGTTCTTGAATTCCAAGGTGAATTTTCTGAACTCACCATGGATTTTGATGTCAAAATTTTGAACCCGGTTCTGTCACTTATTACCATCATTTAAGTTACTTGCCCTTCTGGGCCTTAGTTAGTTAGAGCTGTGATGACTAAGGGAAACTGTGTACTAGCGCAGCACCTGACACAAAATATCGATTCTTTTCCTACCTCCCTACCTTTCTTAGATCAGCACTTAACAGAGCACCAAAGATATAATAAATACTCAGTAGATAGCTCCTGTTCACCGTGATGGTAGTGATTAGGGCCAGATTAAGAGATGAACCTGTATGGCAGTAGTTCAGAGTGGCACATGATAAAGAGTGCAAAAACTTCTCTAGGCACTAAATTGCTGCAAAAATATGATATGGAAAAACTCTTGTTTTTTGGCCGTGCCGTGAGGCTTGTGGGATCTTTGTTCCCTGACCAGGGATTGAACCAAAATTTGCTTCCTCTTCCTCTCCCCAGCCACTCCCACCCATCCACGCAGGATTATGAATCTCTAAAAATAGACCGAGAATTTTTTTGAATACAGTTTTTTTTTTTTTTGGTCGCACCACGTGGCTTGGGAGATCTTAGTTCCCTGATCAAGGATTGAACCCCTGCCGTGGAAGTGCCGAGCCCTAACCACCGGACCGCCAGGGACTTCCCTAGACAAATATTTTTAATATGCCAAATTATATTATTTGCTCCCCCAACCAAGTCCATAAATCTTAATCCAATTCGGATGGTATTGATGATGGTGATGACTTGAGCTATTACCCCTTTTGTGCTGGGGTCCTGGATTTCCTATCTTAGACAAGTGAAGTCTGTTTATTTTTTTAATTCTACAGGATGTCAAAGTCATTTGTAGAGTGACCAGAGCAAAGTCAAGTTTACGCCCATTCTAAAAGATTTGGGCTCCCTAAGCTGAAGTTTCCTCTCCTGTAATGCAGCCCATTGCATGTGCGGGTGTGACCTCACCCTTCTCCCATTGCCCTGTGGCTACGAGGGCTCTGGGAAGCAGTGCAAGAAAATGCTGGTATTCTGCCTGCTGCTGTTACTGTGAGTCATAAAATCTTCCGTCTCGGACTTGGACTTTTGTGTGGTCTGTCAGCATCCATGAAACTGTGGTAGGCTGGCTTGTTAGCTTGCAGGAAGAGTAAACTCCCAAGCTCTTTATAGGTCTTGACAACCCACACTAAACAATCTGTAACAGGATAAATTAACGGTTTTGAGTGAGCAAAGCAGAAGCTCCGAGAAGCGGGAATGTAATTGTCATTGAGAATGGCAGGAAGACTATTTCAAAATGGTGGGAAAGTGCAGCCGATATCGATGTATATGTCTTTCATTGTGACCTAAAGATGTTTCATGCCTTGTTAAACTTTCTTGATAAAGTTTTGAATCTAACTTCTAGGATTTGAGAACTACCAATTTAGACCTGGCAATATGAATCCCCACTTCAAGTTCTAAGAGGCAAGAATATGGAACTAGTATCATTGGCTGTTAATATCAAGATGACAAGCTGTTTTGTGGAATGAAAAAGCTTCATGCAAAGATATATATTTTTCTGGGTGGACAAGAGCCTACTGTATAGCACAGGGAACTAAATTCAATGTCCTGCGATAAACCATAATGGAAAAGAATATAAAAAAGTATGTATATATGTATAACTGAGTCACTTTGCTGTACAGCAGAAAGCAACACAACATTGTAAATCAACTATACTTCAATTAAAAAAAGATACAGAAATTTTTCACCCATCTATTCTTTGAAAAACCTAGGGGATATCATGTACGTATGAAATATTTCTTATAGGTAATACTGAAGTTGCTCACTGTATAAATCAGGATGTTTTCTCTTTTAAAAAAGTGTTTGGGGCTTCCCTGGTGACGCAGTGGTTAAGAATCCGCCTGCCAATGCAGGGGACACAGGTTTGAGCCCTGGGCCAGGAAGATCCCACATGCCGCGGAGCAACTAAGCCTGTGCACCACAGCTACTGAGCCTGCGCTCTAGAGCCCATGAGCCACAACTACTGAGCCCGCGTGCTGCAACTACTGAGCCCACGCACCTAGAGCCCGTGCTCTGCAACAAGAGAAGCCACCGCAGTGAGAAGCCCGCGCACCACATCGAAGAATAGCCCCTGCTCACCGCAACTAGAGAAAGCCCACGCGCAGCAACGAAGACCCAACACAGCCAAAAATAATAAAATAAATGAAATAAATAAATAAATGGAAAAAAAGTGTTCAAGGCACTCTCATAAATTTCTGGTAGAAATGCAAACATGTACAGTCTTTTGGGGAGTGGAATTTGGCAGTATCTAACAAAACTATACATTTATTAACTTTTTGACACAGCAATCTTACTTCTAGGAATTTATCCTAAAATCATACCTTCAATTCCAGTCCTAGGTATATACCCATGAAATCCATTTTAAAAGATTTTTTTTTTGGCCGTGCCACTCAGCTTGTGGGATCTAGCTCCCTGACCAGGGGTTGAACCCGTACCATGGCAGTGACAGCACCAAGTCCTAACCACTGGACCACCGGGGAATTCCGGATGATGGATTTTAAGTATCCATATTTAAAATCTATTTAGGGAATTCCCCGGCGGTCCAGTGGTTAGGAATCCATGTTCTCACTGCCGTGGCCTGGGCTCCATCCCTGATGGGGGAACTAAGGTCCCACAAGCTGAGTGATACAGCCAAAAATAAATAAATAAAATAAAATCCGTAATCAACTCTGCTCTTCCTATAGGATCCTGGATATGCCTCCAACTTCCATGAGAT